GACTTTATCTATCGAGTTATATTAATAAGTAAACCCTTTGAAAATAATTCTCAAAAGAATTAAAAGTCTTTTATAATGTTCCTTGACTAGCTTATGAGCATTACAATTCTAAAGAGGGTAAAATTGAGACTGAGCTTTGACAGGACAAATCACTGTCAGCCCTGGGGGACAGGGAGTGTGTATAGTAACAGCTGAGCTGAGTTGCTGGGGCCACCTGCCCCGTCCAAGGGGAGACCCCAGTGCTGAAGAGAGAGAAGCAGCAGCAGGACAGCGCTGTTCTGAATCCTTCCCCCGACTCACGCCATCCTCCCCAGGGCCCTGTAGTGACACTGGCTGTATAATATTCCACTCAGCAGTGTGTTAGCTGTAGTCTCGAACCTCTAAGTCAGCTTCTCAGAGTCACAATCGGGGTCCATCATGTATAATGTGTGGCTCCTACATGTGTATCTGAGTGCAACATTCCCCACCCCCCCACTCCCATTACTGGGGATTGAACCCAGGGCCTCACCCAACCCAGGTTGAGCCATGTCCCATTTGAGAGCTACATCTTATTTTTCAGATAGAGTCTCAAAGACTTTGCTCAGGCTGACCTCTGTTTCACAATCCTCCTGCCTCTGCCTCCTGAGTAGCTGGGATTACACCACCATGCCTGGTTAAGCATCTTCCTTGCTACAATTATTTTGCCCAGGCTCTGCCCTCACAGGAGCAGGAAGGTACACGATTCTTTCTTCCTGGACTAGCCAAAGGCCTCACCCTGAATAGAGGGACTTTGACATCAGCAAGCCTTTTAAAGTAAGGCTTAAGGTCTGATAGTCAACCAACTGCACCTAGAATCTCTCTTTTAAAAGAGGTAGGGTTGTAGCCCAGAAGGGATACACCATCTGTCCAGTACAAAATTTGACAAGCCTCTCAATTAATTCACCCAAGGTGCATACTGACAAGGGAGCCAGAGATATCAACATTAGAGTTTGTGGTTCAGAAGTTAGGCGGCCGGGCCTCAAATTTCACCCTTACCACTAAGTGCATGACCTTGATGCTTGAGTTAATCTACCTAAGCCTCACATTTCCTCACATTAAGCAGGATAAAAATGTAAGTACTACATCAGAGAAGTATGGAAAGGGTTAAGCGAGATACTTCATGTAAAAATACCCAAAGCAGTACCTCGACCACAGGTTAGTGGACAGTAAATTCTATTACTTTCACTATCATCGGTATTGGGGCCACTGAATTAAAGATGACATATTTCACATTGTACCTTATGGGAAGGACACTCCCTGGAATTGTGCAGTGCACAACCTGTGTGACTGTAGAAAACATCTCTGACGAAATGAGTATGCAAAGCTTGTGCTCTCAAGGCAGATTCCTGGGCTATTTCTTTAAAAGAGGAGGCCGTCATATGCTTGTAGATCTAGTTTGAAACACATCTTGCCAACAAACTCATGAGTTTTAATACGCCACACATATGCAAAAAGCAAACAAGAGTTAAGAGCTGGTGGCCCAGGACTGCTAAGAGAGAAAGGAACTTCCTGTGTAACAGCTCCAGTGTGTCCTGTTCAGTGAGCTGGGAGGCTACGCTGTGGCATGTCACTGACTTCAGGTCATGGGTCACTAGGTATGGGAGGAAAGTGAAAACATAAGCCCACACAAGGTAGGTATCAGGTAAAATGGTAGCTGAGTGAGAGGGTAGAGGAGAGGAGACGGTTGTGAATTAGGGGACTGTGAAGGGTGCCACACTGGCAAGTAAGCAGCCAACCTACTGTTTGACAAGGAGAACTCTGATCAGGAAAGCAGGAACAATAATTACATTCAGAGTCCCCAGGCAAATAGGACTTGTGGCCACACCATTTCTGACCTGGTCCACATTCTCTCTAAGCCTCATTGTTATGGGAACATTCTGAGCAGACTCCCAGAGTGCCTTGCACACAGGGAACATGAAGTGTTTGATGGGGCTTCTTCCTCCATTATCTGGAGCCTGAATGTCACTTGAGGGCCTCCCATGGTATTCTAACCAATCCTTGCCACCCAGCTCCCTCTTAAAACTCTCCACCTTGGGGACAGACAGAGGAGAAAGTAGGAGGGAGATTCTGAGAGCCTTTTCTCCTTATAACAATGGTTAACCTCTGCCAAACTTCTCTTTTTTTTTTAATTTTTATTATTTTATTATTCATATGTGCATACAATGCTTGGGTCATTTCTCCCCCCTGCCCCCACCCCCTCCCTTACCACCCACTCCGTCCCCTCCCTCTCCTCCCCCACCTTCTCGCTACCCGGCAGAAACTATTTTGCCCTTATCTCTAAATTTGTTGAAGAGAGAGTATAAGCAATAATAGGAAGGAACAAGTGTTCCTGGTTGAGATAAGGATAGCTATACAGGGAGTTGACTCACATTGATTTCCTGTGCATGTGCGTTACCTTCTAGGTTAATTCTTTTTGATCTAACCTGTTCTCTAGTTCCTGGTCCCCTTCTCCTATTTCTGCCAAACTTCTTAAACACAGATCCCCATCAGGCTACCTTTTTAAAAACTTTTTGGTGGCACTGGGGTTTGAACTCAGAGCCTCACTCTTGTTAGGCAGGTGCTGTACCTCTTGAGTCACTCCACCAGCCCCCAGGCTATCCTCTTAGATCTTTGCCTCTATGGATTTTGACAGCAGTAGCTGAGGAAGGGTTTAACAAGAGCATCTGCACAGCACGTGCAAAGACAGAAATGACTGGAGAAGACGAATTTCCTCAGCGCCTGTGTTGCAAGGGTTTTCCATTCTTTGGGCTTTAGAAGGAATGTAAGGGAGCTTGCACATTTGCAACTGGCTCCAGCATGTTCAGAAACTGCTAATGCATGGGCAGTCAGCTTCCATTTATTTCTGAATGCATTCTTATTCCTGCTCCTTGGAGCAGTTGTACAGGTTTGAGTTTGGTGAGAGGGAGCGATACAGGAATGACAGAGAGAATCATGAGTTACCACTGAGGCAGGGAGATGAAAGAGCCTCCTTTCCCTTTTATATCCAACACTGGCAATCCCCAAAGCATAACTAATGATAGACAATTATTCCCTTCAATTTTTTCAGTTCAGGTCTGCAGAGTTATTTTTCTGTCTAATGATGGCAGACTATAGAAAGTCACAGAAATGGAGTCCTTGCTCAAAGTCACATGGCTAACAAGTGGCAGTTGTGGAATATGAATCAGGTCTGTATTATTGAAAGTATTTGTGATCCCAGTAATTTATGTGGTTCAAGTGCAATTAATCTAAAATTCAACTTCTTCTTTGAAGGGGGACACTGCGTTTTGAACACAGGGCCTTGCACTTGCTAGGTGGTCTACCACCTGAGCCATGCCCCAGTCCTTCTGACTTTCAGTATTTTTTGAATAGGGTTACATTTTATGCCTGGATCACCATTCTCCTATTTATGCTTCCTTTGCAGCTGGGAAGATAGGTGTGCACCACCTCGCCCACCTTTTATAGCTGAGATGGGGTCTTGCAAACCTTTTTCTCAGAATTACCTAGAACCATACTCCTGATCTCTGCCTCCTGAGTAGCTAGGATTACAGATGTGAGCCCCTGCACCCAAAATGAAATTTAATTTCTTTAGGCATTTCTCCCTCCTACCATCTATCTGGTGGAAGTTAAAAAAAAGTCTAGAAAGACAACAAGCATTTCCTAAAGAAAAGAATGACTCTAAGCCAGGCACTGGTGGCTCATGCCTAGCTACTTGGGAGGCTGAGATCAGGAGTAACAAGATTTGAGGCAAATAGTTTGCAAGACTCTTCTCTCCAAAATAACTAGAGCAAATGGACTAGAGGTGTGGCTGAAGTGGTAGACCACCTCTTTTGCAAGCGTGAATCCCTGAGTTCAAGCCCCAGCCCCATCAAAACAAAAAAAATGACTCTACAAAGTAGAATTAATCCATCCGGGGAAAGGGGAGGGGAGGACAGGGTTGAGGGACTGGGTCTCCAGGGCAGACAGAATGCAGCTAGAATATCTCCAATGATTTAAAAGAACAAACTTAGCATCAAGTTTTGTTTTGTCCACTTGCTAGGGTATGTAACAATGGACAAATAACATGGACTCTCTGAACCTCAGTTTTCTCACTTGCAAAATGGGCTGATATAATAATTCTCATTGTGTTTAGTGGTTAAGAAGATGAGTGAGGTATGAACTTAAAGCTCTCAGCACAGTGCTGGGCACAGTCTAACCACCCCAGAGATAGCCCTTTCCCTGTATTCTGAAAGTCCTGCTAGAGGGGAGTCCTTCTTTTTTACGTCTTTGCACTTTAAATAGCATGTACTTTTATCCTCATTTCAACGTCGGTGGATGTGGCTTTGCTTTTGAGTTCTTCCCGTTCCCCCTTCCTACAATCTAACACTCTATTCTGGATAAACTGAGGTTACCTCCTACTAGTGATCCTCATTTTCCTAGCTGAGCACTTAGTGCCATCTCAAGCAAACATTAACTTGGAGTGGGGAGAAATAGGTCCAGTCTCTTTCTGCTCTCGCTGAGCAGTTCCATCTGGTTCCATCAATTTTTTTAAATCCCTCACTAATTAATCAGGGTTACATATGAGTGCTTGTCTCTATCTGAGAGCCAATGTCATGAAAACAGAAAGATAAAGAGCAGGTCCTACCTCAAGTCTGCGTTCTGGCTTGTAGCCACTCAAACTAATAGAGAAAAACCAAGTCTGGATTCACATAGTTCAAATATATTATTCCCTTCTCCCCTCCTTCTGTGAAAGTGATCTGTAAGCATTTGGCCCAAGGCCTATTAAAACTTCTTCTTTTTTTTTAACTGCTGTCAGATCCAGAACATTCAGGAACACAGCCTGACATAGGAATTGCTTAAACAAGGACCTCTCAGAGAGAAGGCTAGAGTCTGAAAGCCAACCTTTGGGACCCAGCCAGCAATGCCACCGGTGCTGGATGGCTTTGCTGGCTTCACCGGGATTAAATGTGATGATGGCAGGGGGTGGAGCACAAGGCCTGGCAGGTACGCTTCATGGCTCTACTTACTTCTTGCCATTGCTCTGCCCTCCAAGTGTAGAGAGGACACGGTGGGGCTTGGCAGGCACGTTCGGACTCTGGTCTGGTGTACGGGTTGCACTCAGTCTCTCTGGCTGTTTTGTGTGTTCCGATGTGACAGTCCACGCGCCTCTGCTGCATGCCTTGGCCACAGGACACAGAGCACTAAGAAGACAGAGGATGTAAGTGGATGTGTGGGCTCCTTTTGGGGGTGGGGTGAGGTGGGAAAGATCGAAGAGAGGGGCAACACACTCCTAACTTAATGACTTTCACAGCTACCACAATGCTTTCTCAGCCCCAACGAAAGGGACACCAAGGGAAAGTCTAAAAGCTGCAAACTCACTGCTGGTCAATGCTGGAGAGGAAGGATGGGCCTTAAAGTTAGCAAAAATCTTCAAGCACTGCAGAGGTTGGGAGAGATGGGGATGAAATATTTAGCACAACCTAGAAGTAATGCTGCCACATGAAATGAAAAATTTCAAGTGATTTCCATCCCGGAGGATTGGGAGATCCAGTACTGTACAAGAAAGACTTCTTGGATTGAAAGTATAATCCAAAGAAAGCAAACCCCTAAAGATTTTCAGGCCTTATAAGTATAATTTTTTTCACTAGTCTTTTCCTTTTCTTGCTCCTATTCCTTGGAGACAGAAGATCTTTTTTTTGTTTTTAAACTGTGGAATTCACTTAAATATTTGTATCTATTTACAACCTCAGATGAAAATATGAAGACTAAAAGCTGACAAGGAAAAAAGGCCATTTCCTTGGGCTTAATGTCTTCAGCCCTCGAAAAACACTGTTAAGCAACCAGAAACATTTTGTTAGCCAAGTTGCAAAACATTGAATTAAATCGGCAATTAGCGTTCCTCTAAATTAATTTCTTACTGATTTCCTCATTGCTGAATTTCATAATCTCACTTATGGGTAGGTCAAGAATTATTGTCTTTATTAAAGTTTTGACAGTCAGAAACTAAAGGCAACCTTTGATTAGAAAGAATGGCATGTTATTATACTTAACTATTAAAAATTATTGCCAAGTTTTTGTGATATCTCAGCCTCCTTTACTGTGATGTAGAGAAAACAAGTTTAACTTACATTAAAGCCAAATTCCCAAGAGGAAGTCTTCTTAAAGAATAAACTTGGCAACCAGAAAGACACACTTGACATGTGGATGCATTCTAGTCTCTTGGAGACTAATGGAAATTTCTAGCACAGATGCTGCCACATCTTAACCTTCTTCCTCTTTCAGATTTTAAGAAAATAGGAGATATTTTCTAGAAGGCGGTTTGGGAAACTATTGTTTTTAGATAAATCTCTAGCCGTGAAGAAGCTCACAGTTCACATCAAAGTGAGATGAAGAGAAAATATTTTGAACCAATGTTGCTAGTATTGTTTGGGTTTAATTGTATTAATGGACTGAATGAGGTTTGTGAGCCACAAGAAACCAGACTTTTAAAGTCATAATGTCCAAAGAGGAATGGAAAGGGTCCTGAGTGCCACGGATGGCCCTGTCTCTAGAGAGTGACCACTGAATGCTCATGGGGGCTACATGAGTAATATTTCCAGTGATTCTACCAGAAAAGATTGGATTACAGCATGGTAGAGTTACTTCCTACTTGACAGAAATATTCAAATATCATCACTATCAACAATAGCAAACAAAAAACTCCTTGGCAATTTGAAATTGAGGTCTCAATATATAAAAGAGTACATTTCTAGAACAATGTATCCAAATAGAAATGTTTAGGAAATATAACAATATTGTAAACACATTTGAGTTTGACAGAAAGCTGACATGAATTCACAATCTCCTAAGGTTTTAATAACAGAGAGAAAAATGAAAAAAACGTTCAAAGACTTTTAAAGTGTATTATTTAGACTATTAAGTAAATGAGACCTCTTGTTGATGTTGTTGTTTTTGAATAAAGTAATTACGGGTCAATAAACGTAAGGTATTAAAGAGTCACGAGTATGCAAATTTTAAAAATCATTTCTCAAAATATGCCCCAAATTTTCTAAAGGCAAATAAGACACAGGAAGCTCCAATTATGCAATGTGTTGTCTTGGCTTCTAATTTTTATATTACCAAGTCAGCTTGAAAGAGCACACACAATTGAAAGTTTCAACATGACTTAAATGCACAGCAAGGTATAAACCCTGTGTTTCTGAATAACACATCCACAGCAATTTCTGCTCAAAATGAGGTATACTGCATCCGAGTTCAAGTTCATTCTGTGTTCAACTATTCTTCCCATGCTGTCTCTTGGGAGGAAACAATTTGCATACAGACCAAGCCAGCCTTGCTTAGTGAATTCTGAGAGATTTTTTGCAGAAACACCAGGAATAAAACAGCATCAGAAAGACCTCTGTGTGACCCCAAAGGTGGTGATGGTGGTAGTGTGTGCATGTGTGTTTAATTTGTCTAGTTCTGCTCAGTGCACCTTTGAGTCCCTTTGCAGAAGACGTCTGCGCAGCCTCTATGAATGCACCCCCTACCCTTCATCCTACCATGTTAGTCTATTTGTGCAAGGTTGAAATGAGATGTTTTAGTTCTGAACTACTGAGCTGGGAGCTATGTTTCATCTGCCTCTGCTTCCTGCCGAGCAACAGTAGGATACAGAATTCACCAACTTAAGAGGGGAACTTGACATTTACTTACATAGATAAGAAAAATCTCCTTGGTATGTCTCATTTGGGACTCATAACATAGACTTAAAAATCTAGAAAGAATTTTATACACTTTCTTCTAGCATTACTGCTGAAATGATAGCATTGACATTTTAAAATAGGAACTAGCTTGAAAAATAACTCTACAAACCACCTTTTATAAATAATAACAGCAACACTAATAGCAAACTCTTACTAAGCACTTAACTATATACCAGACTCTATACGAGGGTCTCTCAACTGCTTAATTCTTTGTTGGGGATGCTGTTCTGGGTACTGTGGAATTTTAGCACCATCCTGGGTTTGTACCCACAAAATGTCAGTTCCATGTACCCTCACCCTAAGCTGTGACATCCAAAACTATCACCACACATTACCATATGTCCTATGGGTGCCAATTTACTTTAGGGTTTAGCCCTATGGTAAGTATTTTCTTTAAAACATCTTTTTTTTTTTAATTCCTAAGAAACCCTTCAGGTAGATATTATGTAAATAAAGTGAAGAACAGAAATAATCATCTTAGCACAAGGAAAAAGAACAACAAAATAAAACCCCACTGCATGGCACAGTTACTGTGGATTAATGGTGCTAATGTGGTATCGATTTTTCGTACTGCATCAGCAAGAGTGTGGGTGGGAAGCTTGGGTCCAAGCAATGCACCATCAATACTCACACTTCAAATAAAACCCAAATAAATGGAGAGCAGAACTCACTAACATGACTGTACTTCTCATCACTGCCCATGTACATGTGTTCTTCTTCACGTCTCAAAGGATACAGCTACACATCTGCCACATTTCTCCAGCAAACTTTGCAGAAGACTTTAGCACCAGACACCACAACTAAGATGCACTTATTGTAATTACGAGAAAAGTCGTAACAAGGAAGCCTGGTGGGTTCATACTACAATTTACTAGTTCCCGTTTTAATGTTAGCACCAAGTTCTTTTAAAAAATTCTTATTTCACTGACTCTAAGACACCACTCATTGTGGACATTTCCTTCTATTTTGTATCAGTAAGGAAGGAAATAAGGGCTCTTAATTAAAGATGGTATTCCATTGTGTTAAGGCCCATCCTGATCACAAAGGTGCCTCACCTGTACCTGACCATCATCTGAGGATTGATGAACTCACGGAAGGAATTCATGACTGACGAATGAAGAAGCATTACTTTCATTCTAACTTAACACTTTTTCTTTTTATTTCCGATTTTCATTTTAAGGAAAAGAAAACCTTCCTATAGGAACAGGATAAGTTTAGATAATTGTACCCCTAGAATGCTTTCGTATCATGAGAATACAAGTCTTCACAAGTTTCAGGCTGAATCAAGGATCTGATGGTGATTTGTCTTAACGTTTCATTGGGTAGCCTTTAGTTCTGGATCAAAATCATCTAAACAAACTGAACATCAACTTTTGAGGAAAAAAATCCATTAAGACTTTAGTGAGGATTTAAAAAAAAGCTATAGCAGATGTCCTTCATAATGTCAAGATTGCAAAAAGATGCTGAAATGAAAAATTCATCTTTAAATTTCAAAACACCCAATTTTAGGGAGAGACTATTAGATTAGCATGGCTATAGTAGTCTCCTGTCCCAATAGTCTATATTTCAGATTATCATCAGATATTTGACATAATGAGAAATTATACTAATTACCCTTCCTACCTTGAAGACAAGATGACTGGAATGTAACTACTAGCAAAAAACAGAAGGACCAGATGTAAAATCTTCTAAATATGGTTGCCCATGGGCAGTCATCACTCTTGCTTAATATCACTGCCTCAGGGAGCTTCCTGTTTACCAATGGATCATTACTAAATCAGTAATCTGTAATCATGCAGACCATGTTTCTCCATTAACCATTGGGTCGGATTATTTTCAGGTATACTTCTAAATTGCACAAATCAAATTTTCCCCAGGCAGAACCTTGTCTTGCCTGCTTTTATAATTCATTTCTACAAATCAAACCAGGATATTACAAAGCTGCCACAGACATCACTGTGTTTGCTTGTGTCTTCCACAAAGATGATGATTTTTAAGCAATTGTTTTGAACAGGTATGGTTCTTTCTGGGGAGGGATTTTAATAATCCTATTACCTTACATTTGCAAAAAACCCAGGGTTTAAACCTAATCACCCCAGCTTCGTAAGCAATTTTAGGCTTCCCCTTAAGATCACAGGACACTGGAGTTAAACTCACTCCTTGTTTACTAATAAAGAACAAGAGATTCTTTTAATCATCTGTTTAGTGATTACACTGGTCTTTAATAAGTGTCATTTACATGCTCTGAGTTTAACATTCAGGGAGAAACACAGATAAGTAGAGGTCAAGGAATATAAAGAAAAGTAGCAGAGCATAAAACTCTTTAACAGGACAAGCTGATTAGTGTGGCATCTTAAATAATGTTTGCTGCAGACTACTATGAACTGAATAGCTCCTAAAATATAAGGGCTGAAAGTTAACAGATGATAGCATTCACTTAGAAATCATTAGTAAGGATGTCCAGTATGACACACTGCCTTGAATGTGGTACCTTAAGGAAGCCAGAAGAGGAATGAACTCTTTGTTGGGCACACGTTCTTTGATTGTTAAATTAAAATAAACAAACAAACCCCTCATGTTTCATTAAGATAAAGGCCTTGAGAAGGAAGGAGGCTAAGTGTTAGGGAATGATGCTCCAAGAAACTCTGACATGGAACAAGGGGAGGGGAGGTGTAATGGAGGACAATGATGTTTAAGAAACATTCAGGTTTCCTCCAGGAAATTTCCTTTAGCCATATTGGAATGGAGGCTCCTCAACTCCACCCCATGTTAATATGGCTATGTCCAAAGCTCCTTTGTGGCCTTAGAAATCAAGACCCAGCTCTGAAGAATTTATTCCAGAGGCTGCCCAACTTGAATCTAGTCTCCCATTGATCCTCAGGAGTCATGGGCGTGATTCTTCACAGTATAGGAGAACGAGAAATACTGTAAAGCCTCCCTGAATCAGCTCAGTGGAGAGAAGAATCAGCACCAAGTTCAGAATATTTTAAAAGAAATCGAACCTTGTTACTTTCAAGTAAGCACCTTTGACCTGGATGAGAAAATATGTAACTGTGGAGTCAGGAGACTGGCTCCCCTGACCACATGTGAATGACTTTAGTTTGCATTTGTGTATCCACAAACAAAAAGCTTTTCAAATTGCTTTTTCAAGGTCAACAGAGAAATTCTCACACCTCTTTTGTCTAGCTCACCACTGTTTCGAATTAGTGGAGTCTAACTGTAGTCAGTGTCTTGGGAAACCTCTCTCATTCCACATCTAATACACACATCACACTCATCCAAACAAAATATTACTCTTGAGAGACTATTCGATTCAAGATCCCTGAGCAGAGCACTTGGCATTCATTATTGCATTAAATCCTCATAAGAACCATATGAAGTAGACTCAGGAAGGTTAAACAAATCACCCAAGGTCACATAGCTAGAAAATGACAGAGAATTCTCTCTCTGGTAAACCCATCTCTTGTTGTAAACAAGCAAATAGGCAGAGAAATACTTTCTAATACTTTCTAATGACAGCCTTTTCTTTGAAAACTTCTAAGGTAAATTCAGACTCAATTCATACAAACTGTGAATTAGTGATTTTCCAAGTGATGAATAACGCCAGGCCATTCGCCAAGTAAGGCGGGGCTACTTTGTGCTACATGTCTGACACCTAGTACCACACAGAGTTCAACCTTGCATTCACCCCACTGTAGATATTATCCAGAGCTCCAGGGACTGAAGTCACTCGCCTAAAGTCACACAGCTAGTAAGTATCCTGACAGCCTAGGTAAAGATTTTTCCCACCCAGTCTCACGTTCCCCTTTGTACAACCCAAACCATGCAGAGAAACACAAGTGAACATGCTGATGTCAGCCATGTGGCCAAACAAAAGGAAGCATTGCTCACCTGACTCCAAGCGCCAGCCTTCCATTTGGGGCATCGTCCTTCTCGGCACTTTCTGTGCCCATGTGGCTTAGCAAGGTGTTTACAGTTATCACTTTCTAAATGGCCTCCATCTTTTGCCATGCAGTAAACATTTCGTTGTTTATGCCCTCGACCACAAGACACAGAGCACTGCAATATAAAGCAATGGCAAGGTTGTTGTTGTGTTTTAGTCACATGGAATTGGATAAAAACCTGCGGTCATGTAATGTTAAGATCATGTCTAATGAAAGTCACCGTACCCCCGCCCTTTCCAGTGCCATTTTGGATAACGTCTCAAAGCTCAACAGGGAAGGGAGGTGGCATGGGAAAAAAAATGTTTATACATCACAGCAGTAATTCTATATGGCATGTTGGCTTACTCAAGAGTGTCAGCCTTGAGTAATTCTGATAATTTAGGGCAAAAATAAAGCTCGTGAACTTGAAGTTACCATGAAATTTTGATGGAAAGAAGTCCTACTATCAAACATGTCTTCAACAAAGTGTCTTGTGATTCACTGATTGGGATAATGGTGCATTTCTAAAAATACAACTGTGTCCAATCTCTTACCAAAACGATTTAAGCAATCTCTCCTGTCATTTGCCAGAGAAAGCTCATTTTCCTAGCCCACTTGGAGGAGGTAAAAAAGGCATGTTAGAAATGGGAAGATAAGCTAGAGGTAAGTCCATGCCAATTTCGGGAGGAAGACATTACCTTTGAACTTTGATCTGCAGGTTCACTGGACTGTTTTAAATGTGACCTTGTCTGACCACATCTAAGAAACTTGACTTTGATTTCAGATTACGTTTCTCAGAAATATTTAGGAATCAAAGAGCCCATGGAGTCTGGACAAAAATTTGATATGACAGCTTCTTGTAGAACATGCAAGAGACAGGTCCCAATGGGTGCAGAGATATTCAATGTCCATTGCCTCATTAGTGATTACAGAGGCCCTTACACTTACATCATAAGCTGCTGGCTCAGGTTTTCAGGACAAATTATTTCCCAATATAATGGTCTTGCTTTTTAGAGAGAAATGAATTAAAGAATGAAGAACAAAATGTAAAAACACAGCAAAAATAGATTTCAAGTATCATTTCCCTCTATCCAACATTTCTTATTTCCCCCTCTAACTTTAAGATTTTGTTAGCTTAAATTACCAAAGTGCCCTTTTATGCCTAATAGATAAATAGCTCCATGGAAAACAAGAAGTGTCATAGTAATTCAACCACAATTACCAAGCATGCTTAAAGTTATACCATTTGTAAATGTGCCAGACATGTTTTTCTGGTAAAAACAAACCATTATAAAAAATTTAACAGTAGCTGGTAGAGAAATTTAAAATACCCACATTAACACATTTGGTTTTAACTTTTTACTTTAAAACATGGAAACATTCATTTGAGTGCTAATGTTATGAATGTCATGATTTGGAGTGATAATTCTGGAAATCTTAATAAAATATGCCAGGGAAGAAAAGAGCCCAATTTTAATATCTACACCAAAACAAAAATATCCACCATTCAACCTACAGGGTTCTGACATACAGGAAGGTTTTGGGACATCATTTTCAAAACACTTTAGAATGAAGTTCTTAGAAGGATCCCTATAAATCTTTAAGAGTGGTCTAACAATTTACACAAAGATAAGCCCTATGATTACTGACTAAATTTTAATATTTAAAAATGTTACTTCAATAAGAAAATATTATAAGGGCACAATTAGAATTTCAGATGAGTTCATTTGTTTACTCGACAAACATTTATTAAATACCTACCATGTTCCAGGAATTATGCCAACTAATGGAGATAAGAGTGATAATAAAAGTGATATAATCCCTACCCTCCTGGAGTTCATAGACCAGTGTTGGAAATCAATGTTAATCAAGTAATGACATAAGTAGATACTGTGTATGACTATTCATTGAGATGCCTACTATGAAACAAACAGTTCACAGTGGTTGAAAGAGGGCTAACTGAGACATTCCCTCAGCCAGACCAGTCAAGCTCATAGGCCATAATAATAAGTCTGGATTTTATTCTGCACCCAATGAAAAAATAATTAAAACCTCCCTGACAGCAATTCATCTGAGTTATGTCATGGATGCCACCAATATCTGTTCGCAATAAAATGGCAATGGATGAAATTGTTTCTAATTAAAATGCTTTAAAAACTTTTTAAATGTCTAGACACGCTACATCCTATCCATCCCTCTATGTATTTTTCTTATTTGGGGATTTGAATGGAACTGACTTGCAGAAAAGAATAAAATACGCTGGCATGATTCACTGCACATAGTATTTGCCTGAAATTAGTAAGATCTAAACGTGATTAGGAAATTCTCAAGGTATCTAATCTGACAGCAAGCCCTCTTCATTTCATGCTTTCTAAATTACTGATAAAACTGTTCGTGGAGATGTTCAAAATCGAACAGGTTTATTAACAGGTCTTTGATGACTTCATAAAGGAGCTGTCATTGTGATAACCAAATAAACACAGGTTTCAGCTCTTAACATTCTAAAGGAAATTTCTACCTAATCATTTCCAGTCTTTTCCCAGGCAAAAGAAGACTTTTACATCAACACAAGCGTCACTGAGATACAATAGTTTTATTCAGTGCGTCACCTAGCACATGTTATTTATTGGCTACAAATCTGAGAGTTCTTACTCTTGGGAACACTTAAATTTGTAGCTGAACTAGCCTCCTCCTTTGCCAATAGAATGCTGACTTTTTTCTCTTGGGAAACAACCCAATTTATTTTAGAGACTGATATTACCTCAATTTTGAGCAAGACTCAGAAACAATGTAATCTCTGATTATACTTTAGAAGCACCAAGGTCAGCCTCCCAGTGCCCGGGCTTTCAAGCTTTGGTTTCTGTGAGGCCACTGGAAGGGCATGTTGGAATGTGGAGCTCAGTTCAGAAGCAGTGCAGACACTTCCCATTCATTAAGTTCTAAGAGTTGCAATCCTTGCATTTCAACTTATCTGGTGCAAACGAAACTCATGACATGGGGAATGTGTTCTTAACCTCTTCCTAAGCCTTGCTGCTTCTGAAGTAGCAGTTCCGGTCAGCATGGATGGGTTTGGGAATAGAGCACTGTCCCTGGACTTAGGGGTTCCCTGCATCAGTTCTTTTCCTTATACTGAGGGGCAGGGGTTCTTAGTCATCAAGAAGCCAGCAAACAACCCTGGAAGATCTAAAGAGAATGAGACACCCTCCCCCACCTCCTGCCTGGGGCTGCTGAGAATGTAGAGGACCTGGACATTCCCATGAAGCTGGAGTTCTAGACAGAGTTGGTAAGTTCCCCATATGGAACCAAGAAGGAAGAGGAAGGGAAAGGTGGGAGGTCAGGAGCACACAGAGAATATGCCTAGAAATAAGTTTCTGGATGGGGTAAGAAGATGCTGGGGCTTAGAGGAAGCCCCAGAGGGGGTGGGCTGTGGACCAAGACTGCCTGAGCTGCAGAGCAGTTGCCTGATACACATTGGTTAATGAGTGGCTCAGGAGGACAGCCTTTGTTTAATGTCTAGGCATAGAAGATTTGCAATCTGGACAGATGAGACTCTGTACAAGTGAACTGTGGAATGGGGTGCTGATTAACTAGTGCATATCTCCAAACACAGGATTGGTTGACAGCAGGTTAGAAATGACAAGGACTGAAAGGCCAAGAGAAATGCCATATCTGGAACCCATTACCAAGTTAATCAAGACTCTTCTGTTCTAGGGAATTTTAGCATCCGGTAGCTAGCCATTACACAAAGGGAGATGGGTAGGGCTCTATTTGGAGGGAGGAGATTATATTAGTTACTTTTCAAGGCCTTTCCCATGTGATTACAGAATCTGAGAATAGCATCTAGATCACTTCATTAAAGTAATGTTTGGCTGTATCTTTTCATAATACCAACAGTTGTTCTTGATTCAGCTCTAATTTTGACTTTGTTTAACAAAAGAAAGTCAAAGCTCACCTGGACAGTAGGTTATCAGAAAGGATTCAATGCTTATGTGCAAGGTTCAGGGCTGCTTTTGCCAATTACAGTGACAAATGAGGTGACTACTGCATGAGTGTCACACCATCACAACAGGCTTGTAGTTACTGTTTCAGAAAAGAATGGAAATACAAGGATAAAGACTTGTGGATCAAAGTTTCAGACATTTCTCAGTGGAAGGCCAGGAAAGCCACATGGGCTTGTCCACAGATAAAAGATAGAAGCTGTAACTCACACATGTTTATTTACTGCCTTCAACACTGTAGCCAGTCAGCAAATACAGATGCAAAGAATGAGCACATGAATGCTGTAGCCATCAGAGAAGTGTACGATAAACTAAACGTTACGTTCTCACAAAGACAGAAACACCTAGAATCTGACTTACAGTGCTCATGCTGAACTAATTTGGCACAAGTTATTAGATCCAAAAAGGCCACCCCACAGTAGTCTTTCAGACCAGCCCCCTTTTACTGAGCTTTCACTATGAGTAGAATTCTGAGCTAAAGCACACTTGCTGCTCTCATTTAATCCCAAAGCAACCTTGTAGCTCAGGTATTATTAGGGTTCTTTACAGATAACCAGACTGAAGGTCAAAGAGTGACATCACTTCCCCATGGTCACAAAGCCAGGAAGCAACAGAGTTAGACTTTAAACACAGCATATCAATTTCCAGAACCACCATTTTAATCCTTAAGCTATAAAGGGCCTGCTTAAGACAGTATGTGACTCACCTTACCTACTCATGGAAATAACAGAAAGCAAGGGCCTCAAAGAAATGTCTCTTAGACTGTGTTAGATTCCTCCTATTCTTCAGCCTCCCAGGAAGAGGGTGGCTATGCAGTGTTAATAGTTCTGACTTCAGCACATTCCCCTAACATCTGAGTACCCTAAGAAGGAAGACATTATAAATAGCAAATATACAACTACATAAAATGTCACACTTTCTCTTGGCTGAAGCCACACCCTGCCTTTCTATTGGCTGTTCTAGGGGTTTATCAACCCTTTGGGACTCCCTTGATACCCTGTGGTGAAGTATTATTTCCACTGACTGGTGAATGGTACATATATGGAAGGAAACAGGTTGTAAATTTTGGCCTGCCGATTCACCAAGGACTAGTTTATTAAATGTTTGAGCTGTGGGCATCACAAAAATTGTTTAGTCC